GAGTTGCATTCTTCACCGATTGTAAAGCCACGCATATCCACCTGACAAGTTGTCCGAACAACCCGTGCAGAAGTGCTGCCCAGATTGGTCGGATTTTCAGCCACTCAGAAAACCACTTGGCGCATGCACATACTCGCCCAACCAACGCCACTACTTACAGGTGCGTGCGTTCATACTATGGAAGCGCGTGGTCGATTTGTCCTCTCACAATGACTTTCTCATTTTTAATGACAAAGAGATAGCCTTAATTTGGAGAGGGCTGACAAGACTTCGTATGAAGATTCTTTGAGCTAATTCAACATATTGGGAGTCACCATCCAAATTACTCATTGTTTTTCTTCAATGCGTTTGCATCAAGTGGTTACGTTGTTAATTGTTCCAAGGAGGAGTGAGGGGAATTTGCTTGGGCAGTACGACATAGCAAAATGGCGATAGTGCAAAGGGTGCAGTGGAGTGGAGTTGGGGATTGGTTCAGCACGTAGAAATGTGCTTTGGCAGTAGTGCAAAAGAACACCTTCTCCACCACACTGTTTGCGTTAAAATAACTGCGTCCTTCTCGTCCATTTTTCATTATCCATCAGCCGTCAAGTAGTTATAGAGACCTGCCAAAGCTTTTCCTCTGCCTCGTGTGCTGTCTCCTTTCCCTTCTGGAAGCTTCTCTTCAGGATATGCAGTGTTGCGTTCTACTCAACATCAGAGTCATGTTGACCAGAGTTTATGCTATTGTGCGTAGATGGATATGGAAGCCTTGAACAGTGAATTGGTAGTAGATGTGGATGCCACCTCTGAAAGTGTAACCGAAACACTCGAAGGTGCGAACTTGCGCATTCGTCTTGCACATTTGAAGTGGTAGAGGTTCTGGAAAGTCCTTAATTACAATGCAGCATTTGGCCTACATCTTTGCCTGCTGTCATCCATTTCCGTACCGATTTACTGAGCCGGAATTTATGAATAACTGCCAATACTACGGCATCACAGCAGAAAAGTCGGAGACTGCTTGCATGAAATTCGTGCCTCAAATGCCGAGTTAGCGTAGCTTGTATCACATGCACAGCGTTCTGATTGGACCCACTTCATAGTCTTACTTCTTCATGCGAAGCTGCCAACTGCCTTTGAGTCACATCTACCTGGAAAGAGGATGCAAAGTGTTCAAATGCGGCAAGTGGTGGACAACTGGATTTCCACTCCATTGTCGTAGGAATAGACCAACAAACTCCACTCCTCATAACTTTTAATCAGTTTGTCGTTTACACCTTCAAGGGTACCAAGAGCAACTAAACAGGTCATACGACAGACTTGGTCAAGTCGACTCCCTACTGCGCACAGACTGCTTGCACGATTGCTTGTCAAATGGTTTCATTAATGCCAGAATATCCGAAATTTCGCCTGGTGTATTTCTGTAATAGGACATTAATGTCGTCCATTGAATTATATGCTCTTCTGGAATGAGTTCCACTTGTGGCTTGTAAGTAGGCACCCTGGTCGAGCGTCACGGGTAAAATTTAGATGGTTAGGCCACACTCTACTTCCACTCAACTTCCTTTTTGCATGCACCCCTACTTTTCCCTTTCCACCAGTGCTACTGATGTGCGTTTCTTTACTTGAGCCATATTTTCTTCGCACTCAGGTGCACAGGAGATGAGATGGGATGAAGTGACATGAAGTATTTCTCGTGACTCAAAGTGGGTTAAGAGGGTGAAAAGTTGCAACCTTGTTCCACTCCACTCATTCCTCTACGACGTCCTATCAGAGGAAAAACACTAAAGTGTAGCCACCACAGAGCATCATCCCTTCGCCTACTTAATCGGTGTTCGCGAACTCAGTCTGCTGCTGAGTGTTGTCGTGACGTGGTATCAGGGAGAAAGTTGTTACTTGGTAGTTATCAGGTTGCATTCTCCTTCTGCACTCCGATCAGCTAACACTGCTCATTCTCCACTTGACTGTGCATCTCTCAGGTGTCTCCGTTGTGCGAAGCGAACGAGATAGTGTATGCAAGGTGGATTAATGTGGAAAGGAATGGTGAATGGTGACACATACGCATACCGTATGAGTGTAAAGAACAGATGCAAGAGTATTATATCTTCCCCTGACATAGCCCGAATAGCTGTGGGACTGGTCAACTCTACCTTGGAAATGAAGACACCTCTTCGCTGTGTCATTTTTAACCAGCAGATTAATTTGATCTTTAGATC